TACCCTGTACATGTTCCGCTCGCTACGAGTGCGCAGATCTGCCGCGCTATCACTCACAACGCCGCAAGTTTCAGCTCCAGCGGCCGAGACATGATCCTCTGTGCTATCGTGGGGTTGGTAGACGCCGACTCGTTCCGAGCACTTCGATCTTCACGGGAAGATGTGCTTTTTGCATACTTGACCTACACTGAAGGCATGGATCAGCTGGAGCTTGTCGTGGACGCGCTGCCTAATGCGGGCGAGTCGCTCTTCCGCTTGTACCTCGCTACGTGCTCTGGCAGGGTCGGAGATCTACCGGACGAGAGGTGAGATGGTGCCGCGTCCTAGTCCCAAGGACGTGTTCTTCTTGAAGCTGCTGAGCCCCGACATGGGGGTTTTCTTCTTGAGCGACCTGGACGCGAGGAGCAGTGGCTTCTGCTGTCGAAAGAGTACGAGAAGAACGACAATGAGCGCAAGGCCCGGAAGCTACGACGAGCCAGCGTGAACGCGTCGGACTTTGACATTGAGATCGAAGAAGACACGACCGACGGGCGATCTATGTCCCAGTCGTCCACAGCAGCATCGATCGAGCGCTTCCAGATTATCATGCTGAACTACCTGCGGCACCACAGCTTATCCAGCGCCCAACTACTGCAGCTTGTATCCAACACGTTCTTGTTGATGCTGGAAGAGTAGGAACTCAGCCAGCTCATTGACAAGTGCTGGGCGCGTTTCCCTCTGGATGGACAATGGACAAAGGCTCTGGCAGTAGTGCAAGACTTGGGCAGCAGAAGGACGCCTGCTTCACCACTAGACGTCAACTCTGAGTATGTCGCCGCTATTCGTCTCAAGATGCTGAAGACGCTGTTCAAGATGCTGTCGCGAGAGGAGAGGGCGGCGTGGATTGACCGGATCAACTTTAAACACCCAACGGACAGCTACAAGAAGAGGATCCAAGACCTGAAAGACGCGGTCGCAGCAGCGAAGAGCGCACCTCCAGATCTTAGTGACCCCGGGGCGCATATCTCCCGAATGAAGGCGGATCTGAAAGTGCGCTGGCTGGAGGCGATCATGGAGTACGCGTTGAACGAAACGGAGAGCTCAGCGAGGCTGGCGGCGCTCAATCAGGCTCTCCAGCCGTTTGCAAACGGTAAAATGCCACCACCTCCACAACAACAGAGCAAAGTCACCCTCGCATCTGCTGAATAGATCATCCAGCAGTTGCTCGGCCAGTTGAATGCTGCGGACAGAGCAGCTCTGCCCGCGAACCTTGCGCCTCCATCGGTTGATAAGGCTTGGCGGTGAGTTGGCGTAGTAGATTGAAGTACTGCCACTTCCACTCGCGCTTTTTGCCCCTAAAGTGCACAGTGATGAACTCGCCCTCGTGCGTGAGCGCTGTCGAATCCACCGAGCTGCCCCTCGCCCTCTCCTTCTTCACCGGCTCCACGAGTGTCTTTATCATCCTCGCGCTTGGAACGTCGTGCTCTTCGACTAATTTGACACTTCCGAGTCGTGATGAAAAGTGGTTGCAGCCAACTTCAACGCATTAAAGCATAAAGGTTGATGCTCCCTATTTACCACCGGGAGTGTCTAATATAACTTCACCAAGTACATTACGGTGTAATATTCTGATTTGTATATATTATAATGGAGCAGCTCACTGAGTTTGGATTGAATCAGGATCAGTTTGTCGCAGCTTACTGAGTTTGAGTAACTTTCGCGAAAGGTCGCGAATTGTGCCGGGGCGAATTTTGGGAAGTGATGCGTTCATGGCATCCTGTAGTCTGACAAATGCGAAAGAATTGTACTGTAGTTCTACTTGAGCCATTTACACAATGCGGGCACCTTCAGCCTCAGGCGAATCTCCGCTAGAGGCGACCAACGTCTCCTGGTCTCACCGGCGCGTGCAGAAGCTGCAGCAGGAGGCCGTCGACAGCGGCGCCAAGAACGCCGCCGTGGAGATGCGCTGGGCCGACCTCTTCGAGTTCAGCATGCCGCAGGAGCTGCACAACGAGCTGGAGCTGCAGAACCGGGCGTGCGCTGAGATCTTGGCAGGGACGCGGTGATCCGCGAGTTCCAGAACCAGCTCAAGGCCAAGGACGAAGAGTACGTGGCGGCGCTCAAGGTGCAGGCCGAAGAGGTAGAGAAGCTGGTGGATCGGATGAGTCAGCAGTACCGGGAAATGCAGGATGAGTACGAGCTCGAGCTCGAGCAGATGGAGGACGCCTTCCTCAAGGAGCGCGACGAGCGCATCGCCAACAACAAGCTCGAGATCGACTCGCTGTTCGAGCGCAGACGCGAGATGGAGATGGTCTACATGGAAGCCAAGCAGACGCGCGACGAGCAGTATCTGCAGGAGATCGAGGAGCTGCGAGTGCGCGATGCGGAGGACTACAACGAGCTCAAGATCAAGCTCGAGACCAACATCCAGACGCTCGAGCAGCAGCTCGAAGAGATGCGCGCCACGTACCAGCTCAACACGGAGAGGCTCGAGTACAATTACCGAGTGCTGACGGAGCGCGACATGTTGAACTCGGCCACGCTCAGTCAGCAGAAGCGGAGGCTGTCTCGACGAAAGACGCG